GTAGCATGGCTTGCGACCGTCGAACGTCTTTGCTAGCTCCGGGTCTGACCAGAACGGGTCCGTGAAGTACTTTGTGAAGTTGGCATGGCAATACTCTGGAGCTGCTAAGACCTGAACAACATGAGACAAGTGCCTTTTCTTTAGGATGAAAGTATTTTATGTGACCGTCACCCCCTCGTTATAAAAAATAATAATGAATACATTTTGACTAAAACTAGGGACCAAAAAAATTTTCAAAAAACGGACCGATCCAATTGACCAAAACCAGTTTGATATCGTTTTGTTCAATGTGAAAAACTGATCATGAATCTGAAAATTTATATCCATTGATGACTTACAATAACAATTGCAGTTTGCAAAACTGGTTTGTACATTAAATTTTTTTTTTTTAAGTTCAGTTGCCCCTTCGCTCATCTTTCCTTTTCTCTTCTCTCCTTTCTTCTTCTCTCTTCTTCTCCCTTTCTCATTTTCTCCCACCTCTTCGTCTCCTTTTACTTTGTTCGGGTGTATCTCTCTTTGGCTCTTCATCTCCTCACGAGTTGTTTTTGCTTCTCTCACAATTTCGCTCAAAGTTCTCAACTCAGTTTTATCTTGCCTTGGCTTTAGCCAAAATAGACAAACAGTTGGTTTAGTCAATCAGTCGATTCTACATAGCCTTCTAAAACTGTCAAGTTTCCATAGACAAAACGAACTCTGGACCCACCCATCTGCACCCCTAACTAAAATCTTAGAAAAACAATTCAAGAAAAAGAAAAAAGAAAAACCCTATTTTCTTGTGAAAATAGAAATGTAATAATGAGAAATTTTAAAAGAGCGAAAATTATATGAGAGAGAGTATAAAATTGAGAGTTTAGGGTTTGTTCCTCAAATTGATTTCCAATTTCCAATACCTTCTCTCCCAAATCCACTCCCCAAAGCTCTGCAACATCGTCGACGACGACCAAATCGGAATCCAAATAAATCACTCTTTTAACGTCGGCCGGAAGAATCTCCGCCAAGTAAATCCTCGCGTAGTTCAGCGGCTGGTCCAGCGCTTGCCGGATCGATTTCGAAATCTTTCCCCGAACCCTACCGGCGTCGAATCGATAGACCTTGAATTTCAGGTACGGGAACGTCGATTTGATGCACGAGAACACGTCCGGCTCGTATCTCGCCCACAGGAAGTGGAATTCCACGTTCTCCGGGCACGTCGAGTGCTGCAGAATCGACAGCACTGCCGCCATCGTTCCTCGCAGGTAATTTGAATCCAGCGTCATCGCGACGTGGATCTTCTCGTCTCTATCGCAGGCATCGCCATTGCGGAACGCGGGAGCTTCGCGGAAGACAGGAACATCGGAGGACGGCTTGCGGATGATGCCGAGGCGGATTCCGGCGGTGGAGGTTGCGGTGGCGGTGGCGGAGATCAGGAGGAGAGACAGGAGGCCGAGGAAGGAGAGAGAGAAATGGAGGTGGAGGTGATTGTTCCAGAAGGCCATCCTGCCTGTAAAATTGGTGTAGAAATTGGACAGAGGGAGGGGCAGAGGAGGGGGGGAAGTTTGGGAGAAAGATCAAAGAAGAGAGAGAATCAGAGTGGCAGCCATTGTTAGGCTGGATTGGAGAAGGATTAGGAAGAAGAAGTTGGAAATGATTGATGAGAAGGGATAAAAAATGGGGGGAACAAGGTTGGTGGGATTCTGAGGAAGAGAAAATTCTTAGGAAAAACAATGCCTATTTCTGGCCTATGGGAAGAAGAACAAGAAGACTACATCAAAACATTCTTGCTTTTGCTGTTTTTCTAAGGGAGGTAATCATTTTTCTAAATTTTCCCCTTCCAAGCACTTCTTCTCCTCTTTTTTCAGCATCAATTTCTTTCCACTTTTCTTGGAGTTGGAGGATATAACTTAGAATGAGGAGGGGATCTAGGCAATTTTTAGATCTTTTTTTGTTTGTCAAAATAGCCGACCAACCCCCATCTTTCTATTTTTCCCCTTCTAATTTTTGACAAACATATATCAAACCCTTAGGAAAGGATGTTGTTGGACTCTTAGTTTTAGTAAATTATTGTTTCAAATGGATCCATGGTTTTTTACTTTAGAGTTTGTGGTGCAACATTTAAAGCAAGGAGAACCACTATATATGCATATTGTAACAAGATTTGATAGAAATTTTGTTCTTCCATAAGTTATTTTTTGTTCTGTGCATGATGTGATTTGTAGAAGTTAATGTGTGAGATAAAATGTGAGTTCTGTGAACTTGGGGTTTATGTTTGTAGCTTGTGAGATTATTAAACTCATGGCTTACATGCATAGTTACTCTTCGAGATAGGTCTAAAATATTTGTTCGAGATGAGGGAATTTGTTGTAGTATTACAAATATATTTGTTCATCCATCATATTGAATACTCTATACATGCATTGTTACTTTTCGAGATAGGTAAAAACATATGGTACTGTGCTATCAAAGCTAACGTGAATATAGTTCAACTTATCAAGACATTATTTTACCTCCCAAAAAGTTGGAGGTTTGAATTTTCATTAGGTTCAAAACATCATTTTAGCTATTGAATTTTTAAACAAATATAGGATATTAAGGCTCTTTTGTTAAAAGGTGGTGGGTAGTCTAGGTATTCATCATTTGGATGAATGGCATGTTGAAAAAAAACATATACAATCAAATAAAAAAGTCGACCCGCAAGGGACAACTCAACTGGTAAGGATTTGGAATTTCTTGGTCAAACTGGATGTAGGTGCTTTTGGATATAGGGGGCAAATCTCCAAGTTATAAAAATAATAATAATAAATAAATAATAAAAAGAAGTAAAGAGTCATTGTTCTATATAAGTATACTTTGACTACTATAACTACCCAATAATTGGATTTCAACTCACTTGAATTTTGAATTATATGACTTTCGGTTGGTAAAATAATTTCATGATGCATGATAAAATAAATATTTAAATCTTATTTTGGTTAATTTACTTTCAACATTTTTTTATTCATTATAGCTACGTAATTTTAACTTTTGTGCCAAGTTCTTGTGCTTTTATTTATTACAGTCAACCTACTTTTAAAAATTGAATCTTTTTTTTCGTTTTTTGGCGCATCTTTTGTCATGAATGTTGCCACAAAGATGCTCATCAGCTTGAGATTGTCCCAAGACAATGGTGCCTTGTCTAAATTATCTTCCTTAACTCAATTTCTTGACTAGAAAAAAAGGTGTCGTTCACTATGACCAACGACATTTACTCCTACAATTGACAAAGGATCAAGCATCTCAACCAAACGTAGTTGTTCAATTGCGATTGCAACCTGTCACAAGTACGGTTGATAGTGTGTTATAGTCAACACTTTCTTATTTCAATTAACAAAGAGGGGTCAAGATTTGACAAGCGACACTTTTGATTGCGAGGAAACTCATAAGATTTGAATATTCAAAATAAGTTAGCTACTATGTGTTTGAACCTATTTTCTCCCACTATAAAGACTACATAATCAAGTCGCAATTAAACTCTTGAATTAAAAATCATTTGTTAGCATCAAAACCAATTTTTTTAATCTACAAAATTTGAAAACTAGAACATCAACCATAAAAAGGTTTAAAAAAAAAACTATATTCTTGCTGACAAAAGTGTATTGGAAATACACATCCAAATGAATCATGGCCCATTAAAGGCCATCGGAGAAGCCCAATTCTGAGCTTTTGGCCCAGAAGCGAAAATGGGCTCATGACCCACGTTTGGTCAAACAAACCAGAACAGAACCAATATATTTTTCCTTTTTTTTAATAAAAAACGAACTTTTCAGTAAGACGAATGAAAATAGAAGCATATACAACGAGAATACAAAAACAAACGCCCGAGAGGAGCCCTAACTAAAGAAAGGGCTTCCAATCCAAAAGAATAGAACCCTTCTATCTTTCCTTCTATCTTTGTGTCGTCCAATATGACTCTTCAACCCTTCTATCTGCTCATTAGTTTGAGGATGGTCTACTTTTTCAGCCATGGCTGTGATATGAGCAAAGATTGGGGAATATGGTGTAATATCAACAAAAACCAGAAAAGTGAAGCAGAACAATAATGAGGATTCAAGGCCCTCACAATATATTCCATGACAGTAGGACAGATTGTTCCTTATATTCCACTATTTTCTCTGACGCTTCAGCTTTACGTTCCATTTCGAAGGTCAGAAACGACTTTGATCAACATCAAAGTTCATCCTTTACAGGTGGTTCGAAACACTGTTCATCCCAGGAGTAGGGGAACTTCAATCTTGCTGCTGTGTGGGGCATGGACCAGTCATTATAAATGAACCTGCAAGTAAAACCAAAGAAGCAACCTTTGACTGAAGAACTAGAAGATTTTTTTCTTTCCTTTTGGCATTTTGTTGTCTTTTAATCTTTAGTTTAAACCAAAGAGACCGTGGATTTGAACTAAGGGCCCCAAAAGGAGCTTTAAATTGCTACCGTAACAGATTGACATTATTGCAGCAAAGCATACACTCTCAATTTGGTCTATTTAATCCCCGAGGGTTTAGACTTTGTTTCAATTTAGTCTCTATAGTTTAATAAAACCTCACAAATAATCTCTTGTGTGACCTTATTAAAACATTTTTTGACATGACAATGAGTTGATATCTTCACTTGGCTTACGGTGTTGACCCTATTAGGGTTTAGGACTAAGTAAAAAGTTTAAGAAAATAGTTGAATTATTCAAGTAGGTAAAAGATAATCGAGGGACAATTCATAAGGTTTACAAACCCAAGCCTACGATACGACCAAATCGGAAAAGCAAATATAAATGAAAGATAGCTATAAGATGAAAGGAAAATACGCACACTTTGGCCGGTGGCCTAGAAATGATGACGAGCATCTGTAGATCCTCGTGTTCATTCGTATTCCAGACCTGTATAATGGTTAACCATTCAAATGAAATCAGATGCTTGATTCTGAGTTGATTTGTTTAACTGCACATAAATTTTGAAGAAAATTTCAAATAAGGTCTAAATGAGCAAGTTAACGAAACCAAGTAGTGAACGCATACACCAAAACCATACTGTAGGATTATGGATGAACAAGAGCGGGTTTGGTCAGTGCACTTCTTGTCCCCTCTTTAACAATAAACAGCATCTAACCCAAATATTATGGATCCTAGAAAGCACTATTTCCTCCAACGAACTTGCTATTGTCAGATACATAATTTGCATTTGGAACAAGTTCAGATTCTTCAATGGTCTCAACAAATTTCTTGGAGAATTTAAACTAATGGTTAACACACCCCAAGGTGCAACTTATTGGCAAAGGAAATAGGACTTTGTGGTATCACCCACCATGAGGTCTTGTGTTCTAATCTTTCGGTGAGCTTAATACCAAAAATCTTTGATGTCTCTCGGGTCCGAACCTTAGGGTGGGTGCAGGTGCCCCGGTTAGAGGAGTAAAAAGCTAAAGAGATGTCGATTCCGAGTTATTAAAAAAAACTAATTTCTAATCCACATTTATCAGATAAATAGCCTAGTCAAATTAGGGGCTGAACTGTAGTCGGAAACTCAGTGGTTTAAGTTGATATCCGTACATCAGTCTACACTTCACAAGTCACTCAAGAAAGGCTTTCGAGGGCCAAATTTCATGATTTTCCCTTCTTTTTTTTTTTTTTTTGAGTTTCACAATATGCAGGGTTGGGGATTCGAACCTTCAAATTTCATATTTTATGATTCTTGGTTCCACTAAAAGGGGAGGCGGCGGACATATAACTATAATCCCATTTCTTTCAGGCATCACTTTTCTTCTACAGGAAATAGAAAGATTTATGAACCCAAAGAGATAGTTAGAGAACGAAGGGAGGTAAGGCATCGGCTCCTCAAAGGCAAAGGAATAAGAGGATATAATTGTCATTTCAGAGGCAAATCACACGATGAAGACATTTACAGAGTCTAGTGGGGGTGAGAGGCTGTTGTAGGCTTTTTGCCCAAGGAAAGAAAAATGTAGACATAAATCCCCTTTTAAGATCCTGATAGGCCTCGGCCTCAATTTTATTTATCAACATAAATCAAGGAAGATTAGAGAGCTCCTTCCCTCTCCTAATTCTCAAATAAATACAATCACCAGAATAACCAAAAACATATCCAACATAGTGATAGTGCACCATGTGAGTAACATTTCATGAGGTTTTTTGAACAAGATACGAACTTTTCATTGAAGGTATGAAAAGGAACAAAAATTGTTCAAAGATACAAACTCTCAAAAAAGGAGACAAAAATATAAAAGAGACAGGCTTCTTAAAGAGAGCACTTAAAGCAAACAGGAACTAAGTGGGAGCTATAAAGGCCACCTAAAACAACATAACAAATTAGGTGAAAGACTAAAAATCTGAAAGGGATGCTTTAATCTTTGATAGAAAGAAACTATCCTCCGATGACTTGCATTTTCCTTCAAAGATTCTTGAGACAGCGAGCCAAAAAAAGGACTCCACTTCACCTCAACCCAAAAAAATTTCACCTGACTCAAAACAATTAAGGAATGTCTTGCTTAGCACCAAGTCACCAACAAAGCATAATCGCAGAACATAATAAAAATCAAGAATCTGATTTCTTCCACTCCTCTGAGAAAAAGTGTTGCCCCCAAAATCAACTCTTTCTCCAAAGAGACCAACTGATCCGCCAAAGAAAGTAACAAAGGCATCATTTCTCAGATAACTATTGAGCAATATGCCAAATTTTCTTGCAAACCTGCCTCACTGAAATGATCAAATAAACAAACTTGATCCATCATCTGATAAAACCTTACAAAAGCAACACGGAATTGCAACCCTTGGAATATTGAAGACCAACTACTTTGGAACTTTAACTTCAAACCCTACTACAAGACCAAGGAAACTTTCCATCAAAGACATCTGCTACAAAAAAAGATGCTTGTGAACCCCGAAGAACGAACCATCAAGGACAACTTTGAATGGGGAAGAGAGTGATCCCTACAGCCGCAATATATGGAGGACTTGATATCGCCTTTTCTGTACTTGGGGTTTTATCATCTGAAGGCAAATCTACACCCTTTCCTTAGTCCAAATCAGAAAGGAAGTCAAACGATTCATTGTTCAATCCAAAGAGATTAGTAAAAGCTTCTACAAAAGAGTGATCCGAAAGATCTTCAGGGCATGACAAATGATCTTCCAAAAAAGGTGCAAAGTCTTGACTGCTTATACTCAAATTAAAATCATTCTCACCGTCCAAAAAATAAGGATCCACCTGGATTTTCTTTGTTCCTTCATTGGTTGACCTAATAGAGCTGAGAGAGAGGGTTGGATTTGAAAGGACATCTGTTCAATTAGTTAGAAGTTAAGATTATGTGGACTTAGTTAGAAGTTGTTTTAAAGTTGTTTAGATTTTGTGTTTAAATTTAGCAAATAAATCTCCTTTT